CACACACACACACACACACACACACACACACACACACACACACACACACGAAACACGCGTATGTGTATGTATCAAGGTACATGTACATATACGCACGCTGGCGCACAGTGAAGGGTATGCAATCGGCGTATATGCGGTATAGATACATGCCGTATATACGTAGAACGGCGTAATATGTAGCCATATCTGTGCGAGCGAATAATATCTGGGAGGAGGGATGCTATCTGAAAATTTTAAAGGCAGGATTGGAAGACGGCTAGGGGGCAGAGGTCTGATGTGCAGGGCCATAGGTGTGTGTACGGATGGAAAGCTACACATGGTAGCGCGGCGTGCGAGGTACAACATATCGTTGATTTGTTCCTGGATTATAGCCCCCGGTTCTGTCTCGCTCGCGAGAGCTCTATACGCGGCTCCTCTCTCGTCGAGAGAACCACGCAGCTGCGTGCGATGCAACGCGCTGAATGAATTTCGCGTTCGTCGCCGTTCATCGCCGTTCGTTCGTCACTTACGACCATCGGAAAATGTTGGTCTCGTCGATGGGAAAAAAAGCGAGGATAGAGAATCCGGCCGCACACGACGCGAACAGTTCCTTGCGAATGGAACTGTTGCGAAACTCTCCGACCGTTTACTGCGCGAAACGTTTTTTGTCTCACAGTATTTCATGGTCGGAAATCTGCGATATATATAGAATATACGAGTAGAGAGCACTAATCTTAAACGAGAAATATATATTAGAAATCTCCTGTTGTATTTGTTAAGACTCCTGTTCGCTCATTGCAGCCATCTTGGATTAAAGATATATAAGAAGCGAGAAGAGAATATCATGAAAATTCTTGCGACGTACATTAAAATAAAAATGTTTTTCAATAAGATAATATTCGTAATCGATAGGATAAACTTGTAAAATATATCGAAAACTCTCCTTTTGGTCTTGGATAATCCGCATATGTCGAATTGAATTGTACCTAACCAAGCTGCCCTCTGACAGCTGCCGAATTGAAATAAATATTTGCTTTCACATATTAAATTATAACAAAATGGAAGTTTTTGGTATATTTTGACAGTACGACAATTATTTTAAATATAAAAACGTTACACTAAAACGAAAAATAACGCTGTACGTCGCAAGAATAATTTAGCTTTTTAACGTCATTTTTCACGCCTTTTAGTTCACAATTTTGCCAGGTGCGACGCTGTGTGTATGTGTACTGTCAACGCGGACTTGGCAATCGAGCTAGCAGGAACTTTAAAATAATTTATACATTTATCATTATTTTTTTATTGCGTTTGAATAATTTATCGTATTATCATGTTTTAAAAATAAATATAATGTAAAGGAATATATGTTAAATATATAATAAATTTTTTTTAAATATTATCTCTTTCTCTCGTATTTTTAATTTGAATATTTATAAGTTTATCGATATTTTCACAGTGTTGCGAAATGCGTAAACATTATAATGACACAGCGCGAGCAGAACGTTCATCACGTTTGCATTAGCAAACAACGCCCGCGGTTCTCTCGCGTGGTGTTTTCTCCATCAATCCTTCGTGCTGGACGATGACACGTTCCCGGACGGGTATCGTCAGTGGGGTCGTATTAATAGTACAAATAAGAAAATATATTTGTCATAACAGAGTGTCAACGCAGCTGCGCTGCCTCCCCCCGGCTATTGGGGTGGTTTTCCGTTCGCTGGATGTAAACCAGATGGTGGCGCAATTTGCACCTCGGCCTCGCCGACGGTCCTCTCGTGTGTACGGGCGTGAAACTGTCGGTGGTTGCCCCCGGGGGTCCCCGGATGCCATCGCGGCCTGTTTGGTTGATTTTTGGGGGTAGCGCTCTCTCTCTCCCTCTCCTTGTCGCTTCTGAAGGGGGTGTCGTTGTGCAAACATGCCGCTATAATGGGATCGTTCTCTGTCTGCCGCGCCAACCTCAACGTAAACCCGTCTTTCTCGCCCTCCCGGGGGCTCGTTTCGCCCGCGCTGATACGCAATATCCGCGTATATACGTCGCGTCCAACAGATTTCAACGCCCTATTGCGCGGCGTGGAGGATGACTTCTGCGAAATGAGGATCTGCCTATCGCGGCACCACGGCGAAGCAGAAGCCAAACAAACGAGAGAACGACTTGTAGGGACGAGCGATTATAGTTTTAGAATTAGCTCGCATACACTTTTCGACTTGAGATTGGAAAGATGTGAAAATTTTCATTCTGTCTAATTGCTTGAGATTAAGCACGACGCGTAAAAAATAATTTAAACTTCACGAATAATACTTTCAAAAATTATAAGTTTATCTTTAAAAATCTTTCATATTTATTCAATACATTTTGGTACTAATATCTCAATAAATCGATGTCGCCAGAATATTTTTCTAATACAAACAGTAGCTGTGACGCGCGACGGCTCGATGAACGATTAAAGTTCCCGTCTATTCTTTCGACGCGTTTCGAAACAAAAGACGAAGGGATTGCGCGTGGCTTCTGTCTCGGCGGCCGAATGTGCATGCAGCTCGAAATCCCTCATACGCTTCGGCGATTCGCGCTCTCCGTAACAACTGTTACAATGCCGCCGATAATAACAACAACGACGACGGGTCCTGCTTTTAAAGGCGCGGACATAGATTCATAGGATCGCACCCCTGGCCACATTGTGCCCCAGCGGGGATTATAAGGGGATGCGTGAGGGGGAGTATTACGGGGGACGAGAAGAAGGTGGAGGGAAGGAGGGGCGATCACAACGCACTCGCGGAGCTTGCGGCCTACGAGGGGTTGCTTTTTGTCCCTCGTCCCTCCTCTCTTGCCCCATCCTTTTTCCCGAAAAGAAAAACCCCACATAGGTGTGCGCATCTTTCGGATAGTCGTGCGTGTGTGCGCGTCCCGTGTTTGTAGCCTTAACGTGTGGCCAGGGAAAGCTTACGTGTGTGTGCGTTACTCTGCACGAGACACGCACACGTACATACAAGCGAAACCAACTATTCGATCTCAGGGGTGAAAACAACCCTACGACGAGCTCTGATTCGCGCATGCGTGCCGACGAACGGTGCCGTAGCCACCGAGGATCCCAGGGGATGGCTCCAATACACGCGTGTCGGGACGTCGCGCTCGTACACGCGCTCCGCCGCGCCGTACACGGGCTCCTCCCTTCAGGTCCTTGTTATTGTTGCGATTTAATGAAATGTTACGCCCGCTCGCCCGCGATTACTTTCCCATTGCACCGATTAACTCCCCATTCGGTCGGCCTCGTCTCTCGTGGCGGGATACTGGGACATCTTTCCTCCCTGACGATCCCTGGGGCTACGGCTTCTATATCGGGGACTTTTGTACCTTGTTGAAAGGTATACCAATATTGTATATACGATATCTATCGGGAGAGCTTAATTGATTTCTAGGCCAGCCACGTTGTTTTTTAATATCCGTGAAATAACATATAATAAAGATACTATCGTAAAAATCTCACGGCATCTCCGCCGTTTCTCTGCTCCAGGTCTGGTTCAAGAATCGCCGAGCCAAATGCAGACAGCAATTGCAGCAGCATCAACAACAGCAGCAGCAGCAGCAGCAACAACAACAACAGCAGACCCCACCGTCGAAGGGCTCGCCCAGATCGAATCAGAATCACAGCAACAGCAGTACCGGCAGCAGAATATCGACGAGCTCGTCGACGACGCCGAGTAGGCGATCCTCGCCGGATTCTCCGGCGCAGGGTCGGGAGGCACCGGTAGCCGGCAACTCACCCTTGTCGACCCCGCTCCTGTCGACGCAGTCGACGTATCCTCGGGTCGGAACGACGCCAACCGGTGGCAGCGGCGCCAACAGCAATCTGACAACCCCGTCGCCGCCATTGACACCGAGCTCCAATCAACTGCAGCCGTCGTCCTATCCGAGCGCGATGAATCAGATTCATCACGGCGAGACTTACAGCTTCGGCTGGAGCTCGGCGGGGTCCGCTTCTGTGAACCACAGCCAGTACGCCGGCCAGGGTTACAACGCTTACGCTCAGACCCCGGGCGTGTACGGTGGCGACTATTATCAGGCTCAAATCCCCCACATGCACCATAGCCCGCAGGCCAACTACCATCATCCGCAGTATCATCCCAACATGACGCTGACCCCGTCCATGTCACATCTGACCAGTCATCACCTGAATCCGGTGACCACCCAGACGCAAGCCACCAGCAACGATTTAGCGACCGCCGCCGCCGTCGCCGCTGCCGCTGCCGCGTCGGGCGACGAAGCCGCCGGTTACGTGCTGCCCGATCAGAAGTATTCGCCATTGGTATAGCGGTCCGGCAGGTCCTCCGGGATCTTTCAGCGGGGCCAGGAGACAACGAGCACGGCCGGCACCTCGATGCCCTATCACTGGCGACTGAACACAGCGATTTGTCACGAGATCAACGGTAATCTCGACTCCGACGACAATTGATCGTACGAAAAAGGGACTTCGCCGAAGCAACGCTAATATTATAGATGTGCTCCAGACTTGATGGGTATGGTAATTGAAATCAGTGTGCGTGAATCAGTTACACGAACGTTCTCCATCCGGAATGTCTGTGACGACAAAATTTGCGATATTAATATCGCAACAATACGCGTTCGAATTAAACTTAACGGAGAAAACAATAATATCTGTGGCGACCTTATTTTAATTCGATACCATTTTACATTTATTACAAAGCATCTTTTCAGATAACGCGCATGCACGCGCGAATAAAAATTGAAAACTAAAAAAATATACAAGATGAATCAGTAAGCAGGCAATATGTATCTCTATGATGCACCAAAGCGCAATTGTATATTTTCTAAATGAAACTATATGTTGTTTTTACATAAATTGATTTCTGCAATAATTCTTTCTAGGAGAGCGATCTTTACATATCGTTCTATATATAAAAATTGTAGAGATTATAGAGAATAATTTACAAAATATTTTGTCTTTAATTCCGCGTATTTTGTTACATACTCCATATGTAATTTTGTTTATCAACATCATTACGCATGTAGAAAAAATAACTTTGCAGAAAGTTAAACACAATTCTTAAACTTTTTCTCCTATTATTTCGTGAATTTATTAATGAAAAACGTTATTTTTTAAATTAATTCACAAGATGTTTCGTATTTAATCCCAAGTGTGCGTAATTTCGTCTTGCAACATCATTGCGTACGTGGAGGTAAAAGTTTTTACAGAAAGTTAAATGCCATTAAACTCTGTAACTTTTACCCCTATCATTTTGTGCATTTATTAATAAAAACATTACTTTTTTATTAATGAATTCTTTCACAGATGATTAATTAAATTTGTTTTGGAAGAGAGAAAATGCGAAATTTACTCTTTAGCCGATTTTAATTATATTCCAGGAAATATTTCATATTCCACAAACATGTTGATATATCGAACATGTTTTTGACTTTCTTTAATGTAATGTTTATAGTTCACAAAATGTAGGTATTAATCATTGACATGCAAATGTTTAGTCATTTAGCAACAACAGTATTTATTTTTTTGCTTCTTTACTTTTTGGAATTTTTTATTATGAAATAGCTAATTTTTATCTCGTGTTTTTTTACTTCTTTAAATAAAATCAACGCCAAATATCTAAAATATATTTTTTGAGATGTTAAAAACGTTGTGTAATTTGTTCTTACAAATATCTTTAATGTAACATTTTATTGACATTACTGAATAAAAGCTACATCATGAAAGTTTATTACTTTTAATTAATATTACCAATAATATAAAACAAGATTTATTATTAATCTTAGGAATCGGTCCTAAGAATCGAATCACAGACAATCCACAAAATGCTAATTCGCAATTATCGATAGGCGATTTTTAACAAAGCGCATATCTAGAAATCGCAAAAATTATTATTTTCCTTTTCACATTTTTGCAACAATTTCGTCGAAAATAAAATCCACACTCGTAGCTCATGTTTAATACTGAACTCTACATTGTCTGAATTTGAGTTTTAACTAAATAACATATAGGTACTGTGAGGACAAATATTTTATTTATTTTGAATGAAGATAAGCGGATTTAGCAATAAATGTGAATTACGAATGTGCAACACTTGATAAACGACCGATGTTAGTCCGTAGGGAAGAATTTTATTTTTGAGCCGAGCCGAAAAGGAACAAGAAAGTAAGCTTTTATCCTTGTAATTAAAAATAAAAGGCTATATTCGTGAGGAATTGTCATAAAATTTCTTATAAAAAGCTTGTACGCGTCACACGTCGGAATTTGTTTTAAGATCTAATCTATGATTACATCCTTTCCATTTTTAAGATTAAAAGACGAGTATTCATCACTGCCGTCTTTATCATTGGTATTATCCTTATTATTACGATTAACATAGATAATTATCCATATCAAATACGGCTATAATAGCCAAGAAAATCTTGTAAATATATAGTAATAATAAATATGATTACGCGTGAATGAGAGAGAGAGAGAGAGAGAGAGAG